GTAAAATGTTCTTTAATGAAACTCCGTGTATTGAAGATTTTTAGTTAACAAAACAATGTAAAATGTTCTTTAGTGAAACTCCGTGTATTGAAGTCATTTCTTATAATTTATCCTTTAATATAGTCATAGTGTATTTTATAAATAAAGTACAGTACTACAGGTAATTCGTATATCTCCGCACACACCACAGGTATTTTTTTATATGATCACATACAGCACTATAGCTAACCTTTACATGTCCACGGACACTACCACGGATATTTATTACTTGTTCACAGATAGCTCAAAGTCTATAGAAGTATAGACACTTATACTGTGCCCAGTAGTATTAGTGTGATCCAGACTTTGTTCCTAGAACTAACATACCCCAGTATGCTAGAGAACCATGATCAACGTTCAACATCCACAGTACCGAATGTGTCGGTGATCTATGGAAGATGGCACCCCGACTGTTGACAACTATATAAATATTCTGTTCAATCTTGTCATTCCCTTTGGAACACGACTCACTGAGCAAGGATTCATTGTTAACAAGATAACGATCCCGAAATGAGACAAAGGGATATCTTGATGCTAAAGTCCGAAGGAACACTCAGGATATCTTGATGCTAAAGTACGAAGGAACATTCATAACCAGGGCTTGGCCTGCACAAAGTCCGAAAGAACATTCACAACCAGGGCTTGGCCTGCACAACGTCAGGAAGGAACACTCACAACCATGGCTTGACCTGCAAAGAGTCCGAAGGAACACTCACAACCATGGCTTGTCCTGCACAAAGTCCGAAGGAACACTCACAACCATGGCTTGGCCTGCAAAGAGTCCGAAGGAACACTCACAACCATGGCTTGACCTGCAAAGAGTCCGAAGGAACACTCACAACCATGGCTTGACCTGCACAAAGTCCGAAGGAACACTCACAACCATCATCTACTAGTGAAGACGTACTAATGAATAGTCCTCCTACCAACAGGAAAACATCAGACCCGCTGAGGACTCCAGAGATGATAAGACCTTTCAGGAAGGCATCCCCACGAAAGACCAAAATAATCAGGAAAAAACGATATTCGGCTATTTTGACCTCTACACCCGAAAAAAAACAACTCCAGCTTGAAAAAGTTGACAGAGATAAAAAAAAACGA